AGAGAGAGAGAGAGAGAGAGAGAGAGAGAGAGAGAGAGACAAAGTCTTGCTTGTTGTGGCACCATTTCCTCCAAAAGTGAGGGTCCCAGGGGTCCAGCAGGGCCCGGAGAAAAATCTCCAGAGACAGGCAGAAGGGGCTTTACCAAGTCAGGGCCCAAGCTGGTCTTGAGCTTTCAATCTTCCTGTCTAGGGGGCCTGCCGGTTAGCTCAGCTGAAGTGCTTGCTTATGCAAACGCAGTCAGTTGCAGGATACTGTGGTTCATCCCCAGCTCCACATGCCTTACCAGACCGGCCTTTAAGGCAGCCTGACCCAGCCAAAAACACAGTCTTCTCCATCTTCCTGCCTCAATCTCCAGAGTAGCAGGGATTACAGGTGTGAGCCCTGGCACCTGGCTGTGGAGAAGCTAGCTACTTGCTACTTGCTGTGTGAGTGTCTCAGGGGGGTTTAATGGCAATTTGTCCTTTACTGTAATTTTTTTTTCATTTAAACACATAATAGGGGCTTCTACCCTTTCTGAACCTGAATTTGAGCCCAAGGGGGCACTGCAGAATGGCAGAGACAGGAGAAACTGGACTAGGACTCTGGACACACAGCTCCAGGGCTCTGCCCAGCACTGTGACCTGAAGGGATGTGGGTATCAGTGCTTCATATATAAAATGCACTGATGAGTTTACTCAAATTCCAGCTCTACAGGGCCAGTCTGTTTGTATAGTTAAAAACTCTAAGAGAACATGGGAAAATAGATAAGATACATCACTTACTACCAAGTCACAGGGGTTAGGAGTATATAGCTCAGTGGTAAAAGGCTTGCTTAGTATGTCTGAGGCCCTGAGCTCCAGCCTCAGTGGCTCCCCTAATCAGGTTACAGACCATTCAAATTATTCCACTTTTAGTGAAAAAGTTCTTATCTGTAGGTATGTATAGGAAAATGTCTGGGAGGAAATATGCCAAAATATTAAGTGTTGATATGCTACACAATGATTCTATGAGTGACTGTTAGTTTTACTTATCTGTATTTTTAAATTTTCTACAGAGAGAGAAAAAGAATGAAAGAGAGAGAGGAAGGGAGAGGGAGAGCAAGGGAGGAAGGAAGAGATAGAGAGGGAAAGAGGAAAAGAGGGAGAGAGGGAAAGAGGGAGAGAATGAATGAGAATTATGTCATGGGCTTTGAAGTAAAGAAGACCTGCTGGGTACAGGTCTGAATACCACTGGTTATCACTGGGGTGACCTATCTAGGGCAAATCACTTAATCTCCTTGACCCTTACTGAGAGTAATAATGGAATCTATCAAAGAACTTGGTAAAGTTTTTAATTTTTAAAAACATTATTCTTGTAAAAGACACATTGCCATTAATCTCCCTCAAGATAGCCCTTTGCCTTGAACACACGTACCTCATCATTCTTGCCACTTTCTGAAGCAGTTCTGGATATCTGATTTTGTTAGCATCTTTAACTGTACTGATTAGGTATAAGAGGTTTCCCTTTTCATGGTCACTTTGACTTTAAGAAAGAGCTGGAAGCTGCATGGTACCAGATCTGGTGGGGAAGGTGGACGAGGACACACCGCAAAGCTGCCAGGAGCTGCCTTCTTGTTGGATGGCACTCAGCAGTGGTGGTCACCGTTTTATTACACCTTATAAAGACACACGTGTAGGAGGACTTACAGGACTGCTTCAGAAGGTGTCAAGGGCTGGGGAGATAGCTCAGTGATAAGCGCCTGCCTGGCAAGCACAAAGTCCTGGGTTCAATTCTCTGGTATCAAAAAAAAAAAAAAAAAAAAAAAAAGTGTCAAGAGTGATGGGATAAATGTGCTTCAAGGAAGGGTCAAAACGTTACTTGCTGTGTGAGTGTCTCAGGGGGGTTTAATGGCAATTTGTCCTTTACTGTAATTTTTTTTCATTTAAACACATAATAGCATATTTTTTAAAAAATCAGCCCTTGTATGTCATAGAATCAGTAAGAGTATGAAATGAGGTAGTGAGTAGAAAGTGTTTAGATGGCCTGATGCACTATTCTCAATAAACAAAAACTGTAATTGTAAATATTTCATAATTTGCAAAGCTAATAAACTATCAATAAGGGTTACAATCATCAGAAACACCCTATAGTCATATCCTCTAGACTAGGGAAGTCAGTGAACAGGGAAAAAACAAGAGTGAGTCCACTGGGAGATAATCTCTCCAACAGGGAGAGTGTATGACCTCATAAGGAAGCCTGCAGTCCCATACGGGACGTCTGCTGGAGCCAAGTCCAAAATGACACTGTCAGTTACAATTACACCTCAGTAGAGGGGTGTACCTTGTCATAAAATTATCTATAGTTTAGAAAGTGCATGGCTGTGTGAGTAAACTAGCCACGTGGTACTCAGTTTAAGGAACTTTCCTTCTCACCCCATTCTGGGAGGGAAGGATTAATCATGCTCCCTTCTTTCAGGTGAAGAGGATTAACATGTTTGCCCAGGCCCTGCATTATGTCCTTCAGCCCTAGCCACTCACCTGGCATCTCAGGGAGTGGCGGCTCTGGTGGGCTTCTGCAGACTGTGTCAGATTGGGCAGTGCCTGGAATCACCTCCTCCAAGCCCTGGTCCTCACACCTGCAGAGCAGAGGACTGTGAGCGCTTCCACCCCAGCCCACCAGTGTCCCCTTGGAGTGGGGTAGGATGGACGTAGCCTGGAGAGCCTGTGGGGCCAACCACGGGAGAGGTGTAAGCTGCTGGGCTTGGTGGCACGGGTTGGACACTCTCACCTGGTGTGGCGCTGGCAGCGGGCACTGGTGGAGGAGGCATTCTGGAAGTGCCCTGCCTTGCAGGAGATGCAGGTGTTGTCGGGCTCCCCATCTTCATCTGGCGAGAGGAAAGCAAGCCAGCCAGGGTGAGTGGGCAAAAGGGAGCCCAGCTGAGAGCGTCCTTAATGTCCCGTGGGTGGACTCCTGCCCAGCTCTTTAGCCCTCCTGTACACCCCTGCTGGGAGCCTCTTGCATAAGCAAAAAGAAGCACCTGACGACCAAGAACTACCGAGGACCCAGTACCACATCTCGGCCCTCTCTCAGGGTCGCCCGCACTGGCCTCCTTTCAGACTGCCCTCTGACCTTTAAGCTCGACTTCAGTGCCAGGGGGACACTCCGACAGTGGCTCACAGTGCACACACTCAGGGGCTCGGTGGGCACAGAACATTCCCGGCTGACAGCGACACTTCGTCTGGCGAGTGCTGATGCAAGGTGCAACCTCCTGGAAGCCCAGCACTAGTGGGGAGACAGATCTCAGAGAGGGGCCGCCGGAGAGCAGCCCCAGCCTGGCACCCCACTCACCTATGTCACAGGGCCGGCATAGCTGACAGATGCGGAGGTGGTTCCAGTGCTCGTTGTAGGAGTTTTCAGCACACGTGGTACAAACCGTGTCCTGGCTTTGGCTGCATTCAGCTGTGACAAACGTGCCTACATGCAGAGGGACAGCAGGTGTCAGGAGGGAGAGATAACATCTCCCCACTGCCACCTGCCCTGTGGCCTGAACCATGCAAGGCCTTCGCCCCTTCCCTGCCCCCTGAGCTCACTGTCTTCCTGCCTCTCCAGGAGGCCCACTGACCAGGGCTGCCTGCACACTGTCTGTCCCTGCCAGTGAGTTTTCCTGGGGGCAGGGTCTGCCTTCCCTCCGACCCACCTCACATCCCCAGCTTCCCAGAGCCATCGCCTCTCACCTGGGGGACACCTGGAGCAGCAGAGCTGATGCTCGGGCTGGTAGTACTCCTTTTCCTGATCCAAGCACGCCTCGTTCTCAGAGTGGTATGGGGGCACCTTCGAGGGGAGAGGAGATGAGGCAGAAGAGTCAGGGGTCTGTTTGGGAGGCACCAGGCTGCAGAGGGCTGCCAGACCACTGTCCTCCTCTCCTGCCCCTGCCAGCCTTCCCACCCCTCACCACCTGGGGCTTGGATGCAGCCAGGAGCCCACAGAGGCCCAGCAGGAGTGGCCCCCAGGCCAGGCCGGAGGGAGAGGCGGCCCAAGGCAGGCGCATGGCCGCCCTTCGGCCGACCTGCAGGGCGAGCAGATGGGTAAAGACCCGGGAGGAGGGTAGGAAGCCCGGGCGTCCCGAGCAGCGATGGCGGCGGCTTCCCAAGCCCAGCTGCTGGGCCGACGTGCCCCCTAGGGCCGGAGCGGCCAGGCCTGGCCTCCAGGGCTCCAGCGCCGGGCTCAGGAAGTGGGAGTGGAGCTAGCCGGCCGCGGGGCGGGGACAGGGAGCGCTGGGAGCGGAGGCCAGTCTGTCGCAACCGTGTGGAGGAAGAGGAACAGGCTTGGCGGCCTCGCTGGGCGGGAGGGGGTGGCCGGGAAAGCACGTGAGGACAGCAGGCCCGGAACTGGCCGCCGCCTCCGTTGGTGGGAAGCTGAGCCCGAGGGGAGGGCTGCAGGAATAGGTCCATCTGGTGGGAAAGGGGCAGAAAGATTGAGGACACCCTCAGGCGGACCTCCAGGAGGAGCAAGGCTAGCTGGGAACTGATGGATTTGGAGGCAAAGCCAAGGACAGTAGGTGCCAGGTTGGAAAAATGGAGACACCAGGGACTAACCTTGTCCAGAGTGGAGACCCACAGCAAGTAGGCAGATGTAGCAACTGGGACCCACAAGTCCCACTTGGTAGTTGCCAGCATGCCTGCCCTTCTCTGAGGCTTTTTAAGACAGGCTGCCCGTGGGGCCGGGGAGATGGCTCAGTGGAATAAGCGCTTCCCTGGCAAGCGCAAGGCCCTGAGTTCAAGCCCCCGCAAAAAAAAAAAAAAAAAAAAAAGACAGGCTGCCCAGGAGAAGCGGCCAGACCGCTGGGCCTCCACTTAGCTGACCCACCCAAGTCCACACGTGTGGGCATGCCACACAACCCTTGAGAGTGCAGTGGGCCACATGCCCCTGTCCCCTGGGGGCCTCCCTTTCAAGAGCAGAGTAGGGAGGATGTGCGACTGAGTTCCTGATGATTGGGGCCAGCTGTGTCGGAGCTGGGTACCTTCGCTCCAGCTGCCTCTCTTGTGAACCTCTGGATAAGCCAGGGGAAGCTGAGCCCACCCAGTACGGCCCCCTCCTCTTCAGGAGAACTCTGAGCCTCAGGTTCCCTGGCACAGCACGCCAGGGCTTTAAGGTTGCCAGGCCCAGCACCTCCCTCTTTCCTTCCACCATCTCCCTGAAGCCCACAAATAGCCCCATGCAGCCAACTGCAGTCCCCGTAACACCCCACCTGGCTGTCTGGTCTCCAAGCTGCAGTCCACCCAGCCAGTCCTGATAAGACCTGGAAGGTTCACTCAGCTAGCCCAGGATGCTGCACCCCAGAGAGCTGCTGTCTATAACCTGCTGGCTGTCACTGGCTTCCCAGCAGACTGTGAACTCCACAGTCATTTGGACTGGATCTTGGATCCAGCCTCTGAGCCTGTCTTGGAGTCTAGGAGAGATAGGCCCATCCCATGTGCCTGAAACATATTTATGGAGTAGATGAATGATGCCCACATTCCTTAGCTGGTCCATGGCAAATCAGCCAGGGCTCAGCTCATCCCAGCAAACAGACTGCTTCCTTGTGACTCAGGAGTGTGTCTGTAGGGAGGAGACTAACTCCTTCCCTTGAGATAAGTCGCCAGGGCATTGACCCACGCCTGGCCTCTGTTCAAGACTCATCCTTACTCTAGGTGGCCTGACACCTGGACAAGGTCCTGGTGAAGAAGCAAGAAAAGTATAGTATAGAATGTCAACAAGGAGAAGGAGCGAAAGATGGAGGGAATTGGCTGGGCAGTAGATGGTCCACTCTGGGTGATACTCTCTCTTCACCTGGTGCAGGATGAACCCCCGCGTCCTGCTAGCAGCTGGACACCTCGACACCTAGGGCTACAGGGAGGGAAGAAATGCCTAAACAGCTACATTTCTCAGGGCTGCCGCTCTTCTAGGTCTAGAGCGTGGGGCCGGGGCTGGACTCACCCAGGGCTCTTAAATGCACGAAGGAAGTGATATATAGATCCTTTTCTCTTTCTTCTTCTTAATTTTTATTATTGGAACTTCATAACATAATAAAGGAGATAAAGTAATACTGGGACCTGCTCCAAGTTGTGGGCAGCCATCATGTGACCCCTTCCTATGCCCTTCAAATCCCCTTTGATTATTTTGAGGCAAATCCCAGACATCATATGGCCTCACCTGGACATAGTTTAGGATTTGCCCTAAAAAAAGGAGATTTTTTCTTTTGATTGGGGTAAAACATGTATACAACAAAGTGCATAAAATATATGAATCTTATGCATACAGATTGTTAAAATTTCATTTTTGTCCATTGTTTATTTATTTGGTACTGGGGATTTAATTCACAGCCTTCATGTTGAGCTTTTTCAACTTTCTTTAAATTTTGAGATTAAGTCGCTTATTGTCCAGGGTGGACTGGCACTTGTGAGCCTTCCTGCTACTTCAGCCTCCCAGGTCATTTTTGTGTACTCTTGTGTATTCTTGCAGAACATTCTGACCCTGTGAAAGGTGACCGCATGCCCTTCCAAGTCACAGGTAAGCACTCTCTTAGCTTCTCGATGGCCCTGCTGGCTGAATCATATCCTTTTTTCTGCAGCTAGTGCCTGCTTTTACTTCACCTCCCAAGGACTCTCTAGGCCTAAGCAAAGCACCCTTAACTTTCAGTTTTGGTACTGGGCCTGTCACTTTAACTCTGGCCCTCTTTTCTTGCTTAGCCCAAAGTCTGTTTGCTTGCAGATCTGTGCTCCACCCCACTCCCTCCCCAACCCGTGTGTCTCTCCTGGGAACTACATTTCCCAGGATCCTTTCCCATGAGTTTGTGAGTGGGATTAGCCAATAGGAGGCACTGGTAGATGCCCAGCATGTAGGGAAGGGAAGAAGTTGGCTTCTCTCCCAATCTGCTCTGTGGCATCACCTGAAGTTAGTTTTGTTTCTTCCTACTTTCCTACAATCTCATCTCTTACTGGGAAGCGGCCATGGCTTAGTTCCTGTTTAACACCACTGCAGGCTTGTTGGTCAACAATGTGGGATTATCCTGCTGTCTTTTCAGTTTTGGTGGTTGCAGCTGCTTTTTGCTTTGCTATTTTCTGAGTTGCCTCAGTGTCTCCCCTTAGCTTCTCAGCTCTTCTATCATCCACATAACAATTCCCTCTCCTTCTTCCCTGCCTCTCATTCCTCTTTTCCTACTTTCTTTTCTCTCTCCCTTGCTCTCTCCCTCTCTCCTCACCTCCTGGCCTCTTCTTCTTTCCTCTCCCCTCCTATGTCTCTTGCCTCTGTCTCTGTCTTTGTCTCTCTCTTTTGCTCTGTTCCCTAGGCATTGAACCCAAACCTTGCCCCTCCTAGGCATTCTACCATTGATCCACACATCCAGCCCCTGTGTTAAATCTCTTCCATTTGAAAGACCTGGAATATTTCCTGTTTCCCAACTGGACCCTAACAGACAAATCTCACCAGGGAATGGTTATTATCACAATGCCTTCCCCTTAGGGGATGGAACCCAATGAGGCTGAGAAATACAGAAGCTCCTTGTGAGCAGGCACAGTTGTTCTCCTGTCCATTCTTTGCTAGTTTTCGTAAAGCTATCCTGGCATCCAGTGTGTGTCGCGCACCAGGCTGTTAGCATGTGTGAGAGGGGGCTTGCTCCTCCCCCGGCCTCCTTCAGAGGGGTCACTGAGAGGTCATTCTTCCTGCAGGCTCTCAGAGAATAGGAAAAGGGGACTGTGGTGAATGGATCATTTTTGAATATTTTTTCTCTTCTTTCCCTGCTCTGCTGTTAGCCATCAGGCCTCTTGGAAAGGGTCTGGGAAACCCTGAGAAATGAATGTAACTGATAAGGTTGGCCTGCATAGCATTCTTATTTGTGGTGGGGACAGTGTCTGACTCAGTGTTCTCAACTGCAAGACTTGTCTCCCAGATGGGACTTGGCAGTATCTTGAGACATTTTTGGCTGCTACTGCTCAGTAGGCACTGAGCAAGAGAATAGTGATGGTAGGTAAGACAAGGAGAGGCTGATTTGGGCTGGTGTTTTATTTTATTTTTCAAAAAAATTTTTATTTATTTGATACAGAGGCTCACTACACAGCTCAGACTCATAGTGATCCTCCTGTCTCAGCCTCCCTAGCTCTGGGATTACAGGCATGCGCCACCATGCCAGCATGGCATGCAATATCAGGGACTGAACTGAGATCCTTACACTCACCAGGCAGGACTTCAGACTGCTGAGCCATCTTCCTAGCCCAGGGCTGGCATTTTTAGATCTCTTGTTTTCAAGGCTGATTGTTTTCTGGCTAGATCTTACTTTTAGGGAAAGAGGATACTGTTTGCTAGTGGGCAGAAGTCCAGGATGCTGCTGGACAGCCCACAGCACATAGGGCAGCTCCACCAACAAAGACTGACCCAGAAGAAGGACCCACAGTGCTAAGGTGGAAAAATGCTGTCTTAGCCAAAGGGATAAACCTCTAGCAGAGCCTCTAAACATTCTGCTAAGTCACCAGACTTGGAAGGGGTAGAAGGAGGGACATGCTGGTCCATCGTTCTGGGTTTATTTCCATAAGATGAGAGGACCGCTGTCTTCCTCCATACACAACTCAATATGGCTTCGCTAATTGGCTCTCTGTGTAAGACTAAAGAGTTGCATTTCATTGAATAATTCATTTTTACCCTTGGAAGGTTAGAGACTGAAGAGGAAAGAGTGAAGAAAACTTAGAGTAATAGACCACAAGTAAATGGGTCATTAGAGGAAATTCAGATGGTTTGGAGGATGCTTTCTCAGTGCACATTCCCATCAAAGAGAAATTCCCAGGCTTCCTCAGCATCCTAATTCTTTCTGCAAAATGGATCAGTCAGAAGAAGTGAACTCTAGGCCTCTAGACCCTATAGCCACCAAGATGAAAAACCTAGGTTCCTGTCCTCAGAGAATTCCTGATATGACCCCATGCACGCAGGGTATGCCCATGTGTGTGTGGGCACATAGGAAACTAGTAAACAGCAGTGAGAAAAAACTAGGGTGGGTTCTGTCCCACAACATGGAGAAGTGATGCATTTGAACTGGAAGACCTTCTAACTCCTTCCTGCACCCCATGGCAGATGTTCCGGCTCTGGATCTCTCCTGGCAGCCTTTGCGTGTTACAGCCACACTGGGATGGGGAAGGAAGTACTGGGTTAGAAGCAAGAGCCAGGGGTTTGGGAGAGGCTGGGGGACCCTGAGCAGATGGTCCTTCCTGGAATGGTCTGCTAGGCTCCTGATTCTCTTCCTCTAAAGCCAGGGCAGCAGCAGCTTCTCTGAGCCTCAGTTCCCTCATGTGCTGAGCAAGGGGCTCACTGCCGCATAGCTGGTAGGGTTCTTGTGACCGCCCCGATGGCTGCCTACCCTTCCTGCCCATCAGTTTTCAGACAAGAGTGCTGGAACCCAGAGAGTTGTGTTGCCTTTTCTGAAGTCGTGAAGCCTAAAAGCAAAAATAGAAATCATAGACTAATGCCTATGACGTGGTCCAACAAGTCTACAAAGGCACATAGAGGGGTACAGATGGATACACAAACTGCAGTGGGTCCCCTTGGTCTGAGAAGAGGAAAAAGAACAGGACAAGGGGAAGCGTTGATTGTTCTGTTCTTTTTTATTGCTAGAAAACTACACTATGGCAAAAATGTATTTATGTTTTATTGCTGCCCTTTAAAAAGTACTAGTTAAAACTCTGCTCTGATGAAAGTTCAGGTCTCAGCTTTCTGTGTTGCTCATGGCAAGCTTGCTCTGGACTGCTATAGATCTGCCCTGCTGTAGCTTCTGAGCTGCTCTTATCCTGGCCCTTCCTCCCTGGGCCATCCTAGGCTCCAGATCAGGCCTTGAAGTGCTTCTTGCTGAGCCTTTGGGATGAAAACTATTCGTCACACTGCCGTGGGCTGTGGCTGGCTTCCAGGCACCAGTGAGCAAATAGAAAAGGCAGGGAGGAGCTTCGCAGAACTTTGAGATCACACAGTCAGGGAGCCGGGCAACCTGTTTGTGGGATACGAGCTTAAGGACCTGGCTTATCTAGAGATGTCTGGGAACCGCAGAGTTTTCCTCAGAGTCAGGGTTTCAGTCCAATACCAGAGAGCTGCTGGGTCCACGGTGCTATGTGGAAAGAGCGAACCTCTGTGGGCCTTCAAGTCCAGGCACAGGGGAGGCCCGAACGCCTCAAGTCTGTGACTGGACTGGCTCCCGAAGTGAATGGCAGACATGCTAAGCAGAAGTCATGGTTTCTTTTTGGATGCCCCCCAAACCTTATATGCTTAAGGGCTTGTGGCAGGTGACTGGATTACAAGGGCTCAGCTGTTAAGACATGGGACCTGGTTGGAAGAGGTGGACCCCTGGGGAGTGACATCTCCTGGGCATCTCCCTTCTCGCAGCTTCCTGGCACCCTGCCCTGAGCAGCTCTCAGGGACCCTTCCATCATACCATGGAGCATGCAAGGACCAAAGCTTCTGGAACATGAGTGAAAATAAACTTCTCCTCCTTCATGATGTGGGTGTCAGCAGTTTTGTTTCATCAGCAAGGAAAGTGACTGAGATGGTAGACAACCCTTTAGGAGCAGAATTCCCAATTCTGTTTAGGATACTGCTGTCATTTTGTTGTGGTACATCAGAGAACTGGCTTACGCTTGTCAAGGGCCATTTGTATCACCTGGAAAATGGACACCGAGCCAGCCTTTCCCTCCTGAGGCAGGTTCCTGAGCAGATATCAAGGTAAACAACTGAACCTGTTTTGGAACCCTGGCTGACGCTGGTCCTTGCTGTAAGAAGCCTCTAGAGTGGGCTCTACTGAGAGTCTGGAGGGCCCTCTGTTCTTTGCTAGGCAAGCTCCTTGTTTTTCTTTTCTTTTCTTTTCTTTTCTTTTCTTTTCTTTTCTTTTCTTTTCTCTTTCTTTCTTTCCTTTCTTTCTTTCTTTCTTTCTTTCTTTCTTTCTTTCTTTCTTTCTTTCTTTCTGATGCATCTTGTTGTTACAGGGTCTCATTACGCAGCTTGGACTCATGGTGATCCTCCTGCTTTCAGCCTCTCCAGTGCTGGGCTTACAGGTATGTGCCACTACACTAGGACTCTGTCCAGCTCAGCCTGCCCTGGGGGTGGGACCGGCACGGCATGTGGTGTCGGCTGGGATCGAACTGCGGTCCCTGTGCTTGCCTATGCTTGCCTAAGCAGGTGCTTTAGTCTGCTGAGCTACCTCACTGGCCCTCCTTGTTTTTCTTGATCCAGATGAAATGCCACCCTCTATGGGATCTCACGTGAAGCAAGTCCTTCTTGGAGGCTCCCACAGACTTGGTCCTTATCTCACCTGAACTGTCCCCCACCCCCTGAGCCTTGGCCCCATCTGGGCTTGTGTCTGAGGGTGGGAGGGATGGAGAAGGCCCAGGCCAGCTGTGGCAGGCCAAGAGGCAGGAAGAGCCAGGGTCAGGTTCCCACCTCTGACTGCCCCCATAGGCCTAGGGGTGGCAGACCTTCCATGGGCCGTGCAAGGGCTGGGCTGTGTGAACAGACTGGCTGTGTCTCCCTGTGGCCCCTTGTTGAGCCCAGTTCTCAGACCCTTTCCTCTCCACTTGCTCACTGCTTGGTACCTCTATCTCTATTCTCTTCTGGACCAAGTCTGGACAGAAGTTTTATTGAAACCAGAGCCCCTACCAGGTTAGTCTTTCTTTGCTTCCTGGGGTTGTGCCATCTTCTTCCTCCCAGGTGCCAGTGCTAACATATCCCTCTCTGCCCTCTCAGTGCCCGCTGCCTCTGCCTTTCTTTAGGCTCTCTGATTATGCCCACAGTGCCCTGTCTGGCCCGATGCTACCTCCCATGCCCACATTCCTACAACCCCGTGACCACAATAGGGGACATTACACATTCTTGGCCCAGCAGCCAATGGTGTAAAACAGAACAGAATGTCCTGGGGACGGGCCCAGCCCTCTGGGCCCCTGGGCCCCTCCTTGGCCTCCTTGGGTCCCTCCTTGGGCCTGGATGAGGCTAGGTGAGGAGTCTGGAGAAAGGAGGACAGAGAAGGGGAAGAGGCAGGTGGGGACTCCAGGTGTTCCCACTGCTGCAAAGACCATTTCTCCTTCCCCTGCAGGACCTGGGGCAAGGCTGACCAGGGGATCCCAAGAGGGATCCCGGCAGCCCACCAGCTCCCTTGCTCTTCTGCCTGAGGGCAGGCATTCCTGGGGTGGCTTCCTCATTTGCACCCTTTTGCTCTCTTCTGTCTCTTCACCCTGTGACCTCTTCCATACCACAGCTCTCCACCCTGTCCTCTGTTCTCCTCCATCCCTCTCCCTTTTCCTGCCTTCTCTGTTCCCCTGGCTTCCACACCCTGGTCTCACTCCTTCTGGCTCATCTCCCTTTCTGTGTTGCCCTCCTGACTTGGTGCTCAGATTTCTTCTGCCTGTTCCAGATCTATGACCCTCAGCTGTCCTTCTGTCCCCAATCTCCTTGCCTGTCAGCTCCCTATCAATTCCCAGCTCAGACTCTTACCTGTCCCCAGGAGCCCTCTTCCCTTTGGGGAGCTCCCAACCAGGACTCCTCCTCTACCCCTCCCCCTGCCCTGCTCACCTTTAATTGAGATGCTAATGAGGCTTCTGTCGCTTCCATCCCTCACCGACGGGCGGCCCCTGGGCTGCCGCTGCACCTGTCAGGTGAGGGGGAGGAGAGGCTTGGCTGCCAGACTCAACTGGAAAGGAACCAGTCCCAGCCCAGCCACACCTGGGAGTGAGGAGCTGGAGGCAGCTCAGACCTCCTGAAACCCTGCATTCTGTGGGCCAGTGAGGGAGACGGGACAGGGCAGGTGGCTGAGCCAGGGACCAGAGGGCCAGCTGAGAGGGAAGACACGGGAGGAAGAGGAAGAGAGGCAGGATCAGAGGAGCTGGCCCAGGGAGCAGAGGCAGGCAAGGAAGAAGCAAGGCGCCAAGGAGGAGCAGAAGACAACAGAGAGGGGGTGAGAGGCAGGAGCCCAGCCAGAGTTCTGCAGGAAGAGGGCCTGAGGGAGTCTGAGAACCAGGCAGGAGCCTGCCCTGGTGACGGCAGGGAGGTGCCAGTGCACAAAGCCAAAGGTGGCTTTATCTGAAGAGGAGAGAGGCCGCTCCAGGGAAGCCCAGCGTCAGCCCATTGGCCAACTCTCCGGCAGGTCAGCTGGCTCCTGGAGAGGTGGACAGGGTGGAGTGTGGACAGGGTGGGGTGCAGGTGGAACGGGAAAGCGGCTCAGGGGGATGTGGGCATTGGCAGAGTTCAAGGTGGCAATGGAGGAAGGCTTCTAAGCCCAGGCTCAGCCTTGACCTTGACCCTGACCCTCACCTTTCCAACCCACCTTAGGGCTCAATGAAGGGTGATGAGCACAAGGCGCAAGGCCCTCTTCCTCCCCCGCCCCTCCCGGGGCCCCTGAAGGGGGACAAGTGTGAGCAGCCAGGGCTGGGTCCCGAGCCAATGGCCCTCCGGCAGCACTCAGAGGAGGAGGAGGAGGCCCTGATTGAGTTCCACCGCTCCTACCGGGAGCTCTTCCAGTTCTTCTGCAATAACACCACCATCCACGGTGCCATCCGCCTTGTGTGCTCCAAGCACAACCGCATGAAGACGGCTTTCTGGGCCGTGCTCTGGCTCTGCACCTTTGGCATGATGTACTGGCAGTTTGCGCTGCTCTTTGGAGAGTACTTCAGCTACCCTGTCAGCCTCAACATCAACCTCAACTCCGACAAGCTGGTCTTCCCTGCTGTCACTGTCTGCACCCTCAATCCCTACAGGTCAGTCTGTTTGCACCACTTGCAGAGGGTGGCCAGATGGGGCTGAGGTGTTCACCCTTTGCTGCGCAGACCCTTGCTCGGTCACGCCATGCTCCTGCAGACCCCAGGTAACTCCCTTGGGCGGCACAGGGAGCCTAGTGGAGCCATCCTGTCTTGGGTGTCGCCTGACTCACGGACTGGGGCTGGGCCAGCAATGCCCTCCTGCCCTGCACCTCTCCTTCTTGCAAGTGTTGGGGAGCACTGGGGAGGTCAACACACCCACTAGTACAGGGCTTAAGGCAGCCTCATCCTCCCTGGAGCAAGAGGACAGCTGAGAACAGAGGCTCCATGGAAGGTGTGGGCCTCTCTCGCCAAGGCTCCGAGTTCAGTCCAGGGCACACAAATCCATTGGAGAGGTGAAGCTGGGTGACGGTGAGGAGAGGCTGTTCAGGCACTGAGGAGGAGGGTGAGGTCAGACTTTGTGCAGAAATTAACATGGCAGGTGCTAGAGGTCAGGGCTGTAAAGCCAGCCTTGGGGGTGAGGGTTTCCAGAGCTGAAGAAGAATGGGGCAGCTACGCCCCGAGACCCAGGCTACTTGGTGCTGGTGCTCACCACCGGGCTGCTCTGTTCACCTGCCCAGGTGCCTGACCTTTAAGGGCCTGGGTGTGGCCCACAGTTTTGGGTTTCAACAGTGCTCTTTGCCAGTTTGGGTGGGGAGGCAGAGGGGGTGGCAACGTTGGCGGGAGAGGAGGCAGGGCTGGGTGTTGGTGCAGGGGTTTATTTGTATTCGCTCGGTAGGCGCCACACCTTGGGAACACTGGATTCACCAGACACAGGCTAGGTACTGGGTAAAATGGATTTATTAACAATTCAACAACTTTTATTGAAGGCCAGGTACTTCTCTAGGTACTGGGATGAGAAGGCTAAAATCAGGAGGAAGGCGTAGAAGCACGTAATAGCAGCACACTGTGATAAGAATAGTAAAAATGTGTGAGTGTAAGCGTTTAATGAGTGTTTGTCTGAGCGTGAGTATGAGTACACACATGGGGAATGCGTGCGATTATGAATGATTGGGATTGGTCACATGTTGGGGGCGGAGGCCTCCTGATGTGTCACAGACTGAGGAAGCTTGTGGAGCCCTGAAGAGAAAGCACCTCCTTCACGGACGGCAGAGCCGCTTACTCGGGAGGCTGAGGCACCAAACACCGCAAGGATTTTATAGCCGTCTCGGGGATTCTCACAAAATCTTCCAGGGCGTGAGCTAAGAATATCTGTTTTACATATGAAGAAACTGAGGCAGAGAGAAACAAGCCCCCAGATCACAGAGACAGTGACTGAACCGTGACTCGTCCTGTGTGCTTGACCCTAAAACTGGGTCTCTTTTTAATACCCGAGATGTGGGGGAAGGACTGGATGACTTCCCAGTAAGCCGTTTTCACTGCTCATTAGAGGCCTCTCCCCCGGCCTCCTCTTCCTGTAGCACCCTCCCCTTCAGCCCTGCGGTGGAGACAGAGTAGGAAGGGGAGGACTAGGCAGGGGCGGGTGCGGGCAGGGTCGCAGCGCTCGCTCAATAAATATTTGTGGCTGTAAAGATGCTGAGATATGGAGAGGGCAGGGGTGAATCTGCGCATTTGTTAAGGCTCTGCTGGGCGCAGGGCCCCGGCAAGGCCTAAGCTCAAACCCCTGAGGATGGAAATCGTAGTCCGCCTGGAGGCTGGGTTCGGAAGGAGGTGTCTGCTGCCGCAGGGCAGGAGGACAGGGCCAGAAAGCACAGTTTGAGAAGGAGACTGCTCACCTAACTGTGCTTGGCCCCGTGCTGGGTGCTTTATGAACACAGCCTCATTTAGCCCTGGCAAGTCCAGCGAGGGGGCATTTTGTGTATTTCCATCTTTTAGCTGAGCACACTAAGTCTCTGGAAGGTGAAAGTGAGCAAGGCCGTAGAGCTAATAGTAAAACGAGGGCCGGGGAGGTGGCTCAGTGGAATAAGCACTTCCCTGGCAAGCACAAGGGCCTGAGTGCAACCCCTGGTTCTGCAAAAATAAATAAATAAAAATAATAATAATAGGGGCTGGGGAGATGACTCAGTGGAATAAGTGCTTCCCTGGCAAGCGCAAGGGCCTGAGTTCAATCCCTGGTGCCGCAAAAAAAAAAAAAACAAAAAACACCAAACAACCAATAATAATAATAATAATAATAATAATAATAATAATAATAAATAGCAGATGACATGCATACACAGTATTTCCAAATGAATCTAAATCTGAATTAAATTATTTAATCTTCACAGCAGACCTTGGAGGTATGTTAGTACATTAGTGTTCCCATTTTTTTTTTCTGATTCAAATGCCTGCTGCCACCCCCTAGTGTTCCCATTTTATAGATGAGAAAACTGAGGCCCAGAGAATTAAGTAAAGTCACCCAAGTTGCAAAAGGGCTAAGGATGTAACCCAGCACTCTATGGGTTCCATCCCAGTGCTGTGCCTGATCTTAGAACTCTGTCTCTCCAACTAAGAGCCAGTGTACCCTAGATTAGCAGCCAGGCACAGCCCCAGCGTGTGTGACCTCAAAGTCCTCTCTCATCACCCTTTCAGAGAGAAGCCCTCAGGTCACAGAGACAGTGACTGAACCGTGACTTCCTCCTTTCAGAGGAAGCCACAGAGGCTTCCAGGGTTGGGACCTCTGGTGTGAACAGAGAGGGCTGTGCGCAGGTGTCAGGACCCAGGCAGGATTCCAGGGAGAGGCTGATGGGTGGACAGCCATGCCACCCTGGCTGTGAGTCACCGGGGCCAGGCAGAGGCCGGGAGCTGATCGACTCCTCCAGGTAGGAACTGAGGATACAGGGATCAGTCAAGACAGAGGAAGTGGATAGGGCAGAGTCCCACCCTGGGCGTCCACCCGCCGAGAGGCACGACCAGCAGAAGGAGAGGAAAAGATGGCCCTAGCCCATAGGTGTGGTGCACACCTGTAATCCCAGCCCTCTGAAGGCCGAGGCGGGAGGATTACAAGGTCGAACCCAGCCTGGAAACTTAATGCTTTAACAAGACTGGGTCTCAAAATAAAAACTGAACAGGGCTGGAGATGTAGTTCAGCACAGAGGTCCAGGTTCATTCCCAGGACTGCAGAGGTCAGTGGTGACAGGGAGAGATCCTGTCTCTCGGAAGAGCACAGACTGCTGAGCCATCTGATGCACGGAGACGTTAAGAGTCCAGTGGGAAAGGTCAGATCCTGCAGGGCTTCTGTCTTGATCTAAAAGAGCAGGATGGCCAGGCTGTCCTTAGCACGTGAAGTCTACAGACATATTTTTCACCCAGGAACTGGGAGAGATTTAGACCTGGCGAAGAACCTTGGGACTCATGAGGAGTGCAGGTCAGGGACTTTTCTATCCTGAGACAGCAGAGTGGGGCTGGCAGCAGAATGGACCTGGAGATAGGCAGCTTCACACAGAGAAGTGGGGGGCCCTGTGCCCCACATGGTCCAGACCCAGGCCTGGCTAATAGCCCAGACTCCGCCACAGTGACCTGTCCTCTGGTGCTGGGTCCTTCCCACCTCGGTGGCGGAGCTATATTTTATCTCCCTGCATCTGCTGCCTTCTGGCCTGGGTTCTTTCTCTGTGAATCCCCCTGAAGATGTCACCACCTACCCTGTTCCAATGCAGCTAGCACGGGCAAAGCTGCTCTGCCATTTGCCATGCCCCCTCTGGAGTATTGATCACATAGACCTCTTAGGTAATGAGGGCTGGCAACATAGCCAGGGCAGAAGACTGGAAGGCTATGCAGGGGTCATCCCACTGGTGAGTGGAGTCCGGGTCTTCAGTTCCATTTCTGTTAAGACCACATGTCTTAACCACATGTCATGTAGATAGGTGACAGAGAGTGCTGCTATGACTGCTTTGCTTGTTCTTTTCTGAGATTAACAACAGTGACACTCAACACAGCAGCAGCAGGTGCAGAGGACCTACTCTGCCAGGTAATTTGTGCAGGCTTCTCATACACAAGAACTCATGTAATCCTCAGAGCACACAAGGACTCTAGCACTGTTATTTCTCCCATTTCACAGCTGGTGAAAGAGAGGTACAACAATCGTAAGGAATTTATTGGAAGACAAGCAGCTCCTTAGTAGTGAGGTTCCCATATGAGCCCAGAAGCTAACTAGAACTTGATTCCTCTAGCTTTTCCTCAAATAAATGATTTCTAGATCTTCTGCTACTCCAGCTGTCCATCCTCGGAACATCAACTTGCAAGCATCTTTTGGTCTTAAAATGTGACCACAGCTGGGCATGGGCACATACTTATAATCCTAGCACTCTGGGAGGTCGAGGCAGGAGGATCATAAGTTGAAGTCCAGCTGGGGCAACTTAGTGAAACCCTGTCTCAAAATAAAAAATTAAAAACAGAGCTGGGGCTGGGGCTCAGAGAGAAGGCCCTGGGTCTAACAATTCCCATTAATGAGAAAAGAAAAAAAGTTGTGGCCAGGACTGAACTCCAAGTTGTTTAAGTTGCATAGTCTGAGTGCTTGGATCCCATGCAGAGGGCAAGCTCTGACCTCTTGGGGGCCACTTGTAGGGCACGTGCTGTGAATACCATATGGTGTGGACTGGGTTCAGACTGACCGTTGGGGTGGGGGCAGCTGGAAAGGTTCAGAGCTCCTTGGGAGACAAGACTGAAGGTGCAGAGGGGTGGGGAAGAGCTGGGTGGGAGAGGGCCTAGAAAGGAAAGGGAGACTTCTGGGTAGGCGGGAGTTTGGTGTGCTCCCTGTGCCCAGCTCTGCCTGGTATGCTGTGCTGCCAATGAGACTGCGCCACTAGGGGTTCTGGAGTGGTGAGGATGGGCACCTAGGCAAGTTCATAGGGGGCCAGGGTGGAGAAAGAGGGGAGGAGGAGGAGAAGGAGACAGATGGAAGTGAGCAGAGGTGTCAGTCCCCAGATCTTCCTGGGCCCGTACCTGCCAGCCTGCCTGCCCTTCATAGAGAAACAGGGCTGAAGGGGATGTGGCCAGCAACAAGGATGCCAGATCTGATCTTAAGCGCCTCTAAGCCAGAGGCAGTTGTGGATAAAGCAGGGTCAATCAGCCTGGGTTCCAATCTTGGCTCCGGTAGGTACTTCCTGGCTGAGTGATCCTGGGAAGTAGT